CACCCTCGCCCACACTCTCCCACATGACCTCCTTGATCGCTATGCCCACACCGTGTACGCCCCTCTTGTCCTTGGTGCCAGCACGGGCGCCACTCCAGATGATCACGTACCCGTCGTGTGCAATTGAACCTTGCCCCTCTCGTCGGGTCTCCTGAAGTCCTATCACATCACAGCCGGTCGCGGAACAAATCTGCATGACCGTCATCACATTGTGACCAATGGGGTTCCTACTGCTGTAGGCGAGCGTGCGTACGTTAAACGTGCCGAACCATAGGTCGCCCTCTCGTGCCTGCTTCTTCGCAGCCGCCTTGACGGCCGCTGCGGTCTCGTGTCTCTCTCGGTCCACCTCGCGTTGCTGGTGTGCTTTCTTCCGTATTTTCCGAGCGGCGAGTTTCCTCGCATCAATCCATCTCTGCAGAGCTCGGTTCTTGCCTGTGGTGTTTTGACGAGGAGGGTGCAGCACTCCCTCCCCGCGGTGGCCGCGGTTGTCTCCCTTCTCCCGCGAGCGGTGCTTACTAACGTGGTGTTTACGAATCTCTCTAATCCTCCAGCTTCGTAGGCCACGCTTTCCGCGACGGTGGTTGCCAGTTGCAGTTTGCCGCTTCGCATTACTGCCGCGGGAACAGTGTCCATACACACCTCTCGCCACTACCACCGTCTGTGCATCCTCACCGCCACGCTGAGCCAGCGCGGCGGTGAGTTGCACCTTGGGACACCACCCGCCTACTATCTGTTGTGGCCTGGTTCGCCCGCGAGGGACTCACTAGGTCGATTTCGGCCCCGGCCGGGGAGCAGGCCGAGGGGGGAGGAGTATCGGTAACATATACCCTGGTCGAAAATCGACACATACATCTGGGTACACAGTCATTAACAGCTATAAATATGCACTCATATCATTGGTCAGCGCCCAATTTCACCCCGGTGCGTCCGAAAGGCGCAGGGTTTGTTGTTGTTGTTGTTGTTATTGTTTCTCACATTAGCTCTATAGTCCACAANGGAGTATCGGTAACATATACCCTGGTCGAAAATCGACACATACATCTGGGTACACAGTCATTAACAGCTATAAATATGCACTCATATCATTGGTCAGCGCCCAATTTCACCCCGGTGCGTCCGAAAGGCGCAGGGTTTGTTGTTGTTGTTGTTGTTATTGTTTCTCACATTAGCTCTATAGTCCACAAAAAATGGGGAGCCCGTGGTCTCAAAACCCGGCACATACGACGCCGCGAGAAAACAAAAAACAAAAANTTATTGTTTCTCACATTAGCTCTATAGTCCACAAAAAATGGGGAGCCCGTCGTCTCAAAACCCGGCACATACGAAGCCGCGGGTAAACAAAACAAAAATAGGGTACAAGCCACTCGGGAAAAGGAAACAAAATGATAGAAAGAAAATAATAATAATAAAATCTGACGCTATGATTCCATTGTTAATCTGTCTCTGACTCTTTTCTATGATAGAGATGGACTCGTTGTGTCATATTAAGAAAAATAAAAATAAAAGAAAATAACAGGTATCGCACCGGCCGTTCGAGAAAAGAGCCCTCGGAAACCGATCAAAATAGGACAAAAACAAAAATATAGGAGGACGCTTCCCACACCCGCCTAACAAAGAAAAAATTAAAGGGTAACGTACCAGCACCAGGCACTATGCACCAGGGCATGGGAGTAACGGAGCAAACAGGACAAAGAGGCGGCAGATGGGCAGACAGCGAGGCGTACAAAAACAGGGTATACCCTGACGTGACTACTTTTCTCAACAACTGTACCCTGTTTTCGGAAATAAATGTACCCCGACCTGTCGGGAAAAGAGACCCTTTCATCAATCATTTCCCCCACAGGAATCTTCTCAACTCTTTTTCCCCTCCATGGGATTATTATTGTTGTTGATGTCTTCATAATAAAACGGTTCCGATCTCTCTCTACCCAGTACCTTCGAATGTCCGTACTGATCCTACACTCGACGCGGTCGATTCCCGTGGTCGCAGGCTAACTTACCCTAAAATGTATACACCCAAATAAAATGGCCCCGAGGGGTCCGCAAGTCAATAGAAATCAACGACAGATAGATAGTCTAGATACTCTGGAGTCCTCCACTCCCTCTGCGCGCAATACGAGGTAAGTAACAACTGAGACTAGGAGTCACCATCACGGGCCGGAGAGAATGAGGTACACCCCCTTGGTTCAATCTTGGTACTTCCCAACGCAAGCAGAGACAAGGCCATCTGGCACAGAAAAAGAGAAAAAGAGAAAAAGAGATGAAAAAAAAAGGAAACGAACAGTGAAGGAAAGAGAAAATGAAAAGATAAGAGCGAGGACAAAAAGGGACCACCAGTGTTAAGGAGTGTGGCTGCTAGCATGAATAGGGTACATCATATTCTTGATAGGATGCGGGTCGGTCAGGAGGTATACCCTTCTGACCCCTACCCCCTTAGAATTGTCTACTCTGTGTACCCCCTGAGATGAAGTTGGATCCCCACTTCATCCCAGACCTTTGCTGATCGTCGCTCAGCAATAACAAGCAACTTTCCGATCTCAACGTGGTCTTGGACAAACAAGCGTGTCAACGACAGAACCTTCATCTATCACTAGGAGCAAGCCACCGCCCACGGCATCACTCCTTGAAACTTGGCGTCAGCTGGCATTACACGGTAAGCGGGTGCTGGACGCGGCTTCCACACTGCTGTGTGTTGTTGCCACGCTTTTTTCACAACCACCGGGTTGCTTGNGTACGTTCGCCGTCCCTCGAAAGCTTTTTCGTCTGCATCGGCGGTCCATGAAGTGATTTCTGTGGCGGATACCCTCTGCATGGAGCGTCCTGAGATGCTGGCCTTGTGTAATGGGACCCGAGATGACAGCATGCTTCCCACGTCTGCCACCACCTCTACTGCATTCATACCGGCGTACCGGCCGATGTCCGCGGATTTTCCTGTTGTACTGTCCAATTTGACTCCGCTTGCATCGACTTGGAACGCGATGTGTGCACACAAATTGGGTGCTGGTCGCCCCACCAGCCTTCCCTCCATTTTTCGAAATCACATGGCACTTTTTTTCGGGGAATCGTTCACCCTCAAAGCATTTGAATTGAAAGCCTTTCAACAGCGCAAACCCACAGCAGTCTTTGCTCGCACTTCGGCACCAGTTGCGGAGGAACGCCGTGCTGCTCTGCGTGACTTTTGGTCGGAAAACCTCGTGTCTCCATGCAACACGGGCCCTTTTGTGCTAGCTTCTACTGCTGTTTGTGCGTGGCATGGTGTGCTTTTGGACGCTTTTTCTGCTTGGTTGGATCCGCTTCAACCTCGTGTGCACCAAGCTTTTATCACTGGGCGTGTGCTATCTTGTGGATATCTCCGCCTTTCGCATGGACCTCGGCTTGATCTTCCCGAAGTTGCACCCGGCTTCACTGTTTCTGCTGCTCTTGGTGCTGCTGCCTCAACTGCGGTTGGTCATCCTACATCTACTGTTTCTGGCCCTGCTGCCCTTTCCAAAATCGATCGTAGCTACCCTCTCTCTGGCCCCGTTCTTGTTAACAAAGAGGATACAATGTCCAGCGGCAACATGGAACTCCTGGGCGACAATGTGGAAATCCTCGACTACGAACCCGAGGGCGAGGCTCCCACCGCAGAGCAGTTCCCAGCGGCGAGTGCAGAAGACCAGAGCCCCCCCATGTCCATGGTGTTCACCGTCGATGATTTGCTGGACAACATCGCCACAGCAGATCCGGCGGAACTGGAGCGGGCCTACAACACCGGACGAGTATCTCTGGAGGATATCGTAGGAGCGGCCCATCTGTCGTCCGATTCCACCCTTTTCGTTCCTCCTTTCTCGCTCCCGCCGGAAGGTAGATTAATCCTCTTGCCCCACGACGAGTTTATGGCGTACCAAAGGTTGAACGAGATGTGGTGCGACGGTCTTGCCGGGAAGATAGCAGAGGCGGAGGCGCGAGAGCAGGCGAAGCGCGAGGACGCGGAGCGCTTGGCGGAACGGGAGGCTGCTCTGGCCGCTGCGGCGAGGAAGCAGGAGGAGGAGCGTGAGGCTGTTCGGGCTGCTGCGGCGAAGAAGCAGGAGGAGGAACGTGAGGCTGCTCTGGCTGCTGCGGCGAGGAAGCAGGAGGAGGAGCGTGCGGCTGTTCTGGCGGAGCGTGAGGCGTATCTCCAAGCGGCTAGGGCGAAGCAGGGGGCGCTCCGATCGCGGCTGAAGGAGCTGGAGCCCCGCCACCAGGACCCGCGAGCAGCCCCCCACCCCCGTCGCCGTGTTGTCGTCCCCCCCCCCCACGCAATCACAGGTGCACCTTGGTCCCCATCGTACCGCCTCGCCGCACGAGGAGGAGCGCGAGGTGGCGGCGTCTCCGACGAACGAGCAGGAGCGGAAGAGGACAGCGACTC